AGTATTTATGATCTTGTTTTGTGAACTTGTGTTGCTGTTTTTATTTCCATTGATTAATAAATGTTCTTTATACTCACTTGCTAAGTGACGTGATTAATGCGAATGAAATGAGTTTAACGTAATGGTAAATAAGTATTTATGATCTTGTTTTGTGAACTTGTGTTGCTGTTTTTATTTCCATTGATTAATAAATGTTCTTTATACTCACTTGCTAAGTGACGTGATTAATGCGAATGAAATGAGTTTAACGTAATGGTAAATAAGTATTTATGATCTTGTTTTGTGAACTTGTGTTGCTGTTTTTATTTCCATTGATTAATAAATGTTCTTTATACTCACAGACTAAATTAATGCGAATGAAATAAATTTAAACATAATGGTAAATAAATATTCATGATCTTGTTTTGTGAACTTGTTTTGCTGTTTTTATTTACATTTATTAATAAATATTCTTCATAATGCGGATAAAATGAATTTGAACGTAATGGTAAATAATTTTATTATGATCTTTCATGCTTTGTGAACTTGACTTATTCTAAAAATTGTTATATTCTTTTATACTCACGGACTAAAATAACCAACAATAAAAAAAATATTTATAAACTTAAATCGCCGATTTAGATTGATGAATGCATTTTATACTTACTCTCTAATAATTGAAAATGGTATAAGAGATCTCAATTTCAAATAAAGAATTACAAATTATCATAACAAAAAATTAAAAAAATTAACTTACTTTTTATACCATTTAAAAAATTTAGTTTGACTCTTTTCCACGCCAATTCCAAACCAGTGACAAATAGCAGCTTTCCAAATTCCCATCGTATTACCAGCTTCAGCAGACTCCAGATAATTTGTAAACGCTTTTTGCTTATCGATTTCGACGCCAATTCCTAAATTATAACAATAACCAACTCGATACATTCCGTTAGAATAATTCATTTCTGCCGATTTTTGATAATGCGTGAATGCCGCGTTTTCATCCTTTTCAACTCCAATTCCATATTCGTAACAATAGCCGAGCCAGAAAATTCCGTATGAATTGTTCGTATCTGCCAATTTTTGACAATCAGAGAAATTCAATTTGCTGAAACCATCGATCAATTCGGTCAAATTTTCGGTTGACATTTTCAATCAAAAAAAAAAATAAAAATGAATACGCATCACAATTTGCTGTTACTATTTATTTATTTATTTATGATGGTTACACATACAGCTTTCAGCCTACAAACATAGCATATTATCGGAAACTATAGTTGTTCCTAACGAATAGTGCATTTGGCAAGCTACCAATAAATAAAAAAATGCATGCATGCATATTGTATACGTATGTAGTATATAAAATTATTTACATACTTGCGTACGTACGTACGTTGTAAAATGGTAAATCATGACTTGGAATGAATTTTTTCGCACATAGTAGATCAGATGCATATTAGGTTTAGAAGCTATGTACATTTTGTACATAGAAACCATGTACATTTTGTACATAGAAACCATGTACATTTTGTACATAGAAACCGTGTACATTTTGTACATTGACGCCGTGTACATTTTGTACATAGAAGCTATGTACATTTGTACATAGATGCCATGTACATTTTGTACATAGTGATCAACGCGAATATAGCATAGCGAGCATAGCCATTATGTATCTATTAGTAGCATAGAAACTATAAATATGATGCCTTTGGCATCTATAATAAAGGAGTCAGTCAGTCAGTTAGGAGTGAAGTAAAAGTCGGTAGAACTCCTTAGAGTTCGACTCATAGAGTCAAGTATTCTGACTTTAAAGGTTCGCTTCAATTACCCCCCGATAATCAAATTCGCATATAGTTAGTAGTCTAAAACACGTGATTCCGAAGTAGAGCCTTGTGACATAATCCAGAGCTCTATTTAACCCTAATAACTCGGACCAAGTTTTTCCACGCCTCGATCGTGCCTTCCACCGTTAGGGTTGACAGAGTTCAGTAGTTTAGAGTATTGTTTAGATTAGTTTTAGTGGTAGTTGATATCCGTATTGCACACATTTTGTGATTCCGGATCATTTCTCACTTTTACAACGTACATATACTGTAACACATAAATCACTTCTCAATACTCTATCAAAGACGTGTACTACGGACGTTTTCAATATGATACCATTACCGAATGAATGCTACTACCAAATATTTAATATACCTTCGGTCAAATTATAAAAATTTATTTTCATGTGCTCTAGTAAACCGTCAATGGTGTAGGATCATTATCCCAATATTTTGGAGCGATCCGAAACATCATTTTAAAGATAAAAGGCTTATAGAAATATTTCTTTTAACATTAAATACTCAAGAGCAAACTCTATTAATTCCTTATAAAATCACCATTCCAAGCTATTGAATATACAAGTTATGTCACATCCGTTAACGATTATTTGTATGATGGTATTAGCAATTGGCTAAACGATAGAAGATATAAACTAAAATGTAAATTTGAAAATGCCGTAAAATGTTCTTTGATTACGATGTTTCTACGAACTAGTAAGAATCTTAAACATTTAAACCTTAGTGAAATTATTTGCAATCGAATGATATTTGAAATATTTATGAAAACTCAACTATTACCTCTATGAAGTTAAATAAAACTCGTATCGATCTTAAATCTAAAACTATAGATGTATTAGTAAAAATTCTTTATAAGAATTCTACATTGACTTCTTTGGATCTTGAAAATAATAACCTTGTATCAGAAGAAGGAAAAGCATTAGCAGATGCACTTTGCAAGAACGCCTCACTGACTTCTTTGAATCTTGCAGAAAATCATCTTGGATTAGAAGGAGGAAATGTATTCGCTGATGTACTTTGCAAAAACACCACGCTGACTTCTTTGGATCTTAGTCAGAATGATCTTAAATCTGAAGGAGGAAAAGCATTAGCAGATGCACTTTGCAAGAACGTCACTGACTTCTTTGAATCTCGGATTTAATGATCTCGGATCAGGAGGAGCTAAAGCATTAGCTGATGCACTTTGCAAAAACGCTACTCTGACTTCTTTAGATCTTAGTCAGATTGATCTTGAATTAGAAGGTGGAAAAGCATTAGCAGATGCACTTTGCAAGAACGCCACTCTGACTTCTTTGAATCTTAGTCAGAATGATCTTAATTCTGAAGGAGGAAAAGCATTAGCTGATGCGCTTTGCAAGAACTCCACGCTGACTTCTTTGGATCTTGGTTCTAATGAACTTGGATCAGAAGGAGGAAAATCATTAGCGGATGCACTTTGCAAGAACACTACACTGACTACTTTGAATCTTTTTTATAATAATCTTGGGCCAGAAGGAGGAAGAGCATTAGCAGATACACTTTGCAAGAACACTACTCTGACTTCTTTGGATCTTGGTCTGAATGATATTGAATCAGAAGGAGGAAAAACATTAGCAGATGCACTTTGTAAGAACTCCACGCTGACTTCTTTGGATCTTGGTTCTAATAAACTTGGATCGGAAGGAGGAATATCATTAGCATATGCACTTCGCAAGAACACTACGCTGACTACTTTGAACCTTTTTTATATTAATTTTGGTCCAGAAGGAGGAAGAGTATTGGCAGATACACTTCGCAAGAATACCACGTTGACTTCTTTGGGTCTTGAAAATAATAGACTTGGATCAGAAGGAGTAAAAGTATTAGCAGATGCACTTCGCAAGAACACTTAGTCAGAATGATCTTGGATCAGAGGGAGGAAAATCATTAGCGCATGCACTTCACAAGAACATTACGGTGATTTCTTTGAATCTTATGAAAAATTATTAAAAGATTCACTTTGTAAAAACACCACGCTGGCTTCCCTATAAAAAATGTTTGTTCAATAAATGTTCTAAAAAAAAATCAAAAATTGTTTAATTGTATATTCGGGTTTTGTTCAAATTTTTGTAATTATGTATACAGGTTTTGTTCAAGTTTTCGTTCAGATTTTTGTTCAAAAAAATGTTCAAAACGGGCTCGATTTTCTGAACAATTTCCTGAACAATAACCAAATAATAACCAAACAATAACCAAATAATAACCAAATAATAACCAAATAATAACTAAATAATAACCAAATAATAACCAAACAATAACTAAACAAATAACCAAATAATAACTAAACAATAACCAAACAATAACCAAATAATAACCAAACAATAACTAAATAATAACCAAACAATAACAAAACAATAACCAAACAATAATCAAACAATAACAAAATAATAGCCAAATAATAACCAAATAATAACCAAACAATAACCAAATAATAACTAAATAATAATATACAAAATTATGCTTAATATGATCAGATTTTATTAAAAAATTATGCAAATTTTATTGTGAATTTGAGTAGTTTATATTCAAATTATAATCTAATATTAATACATAAAATATATTAAATATATGCAAACAACATATTATAATTATAATAGATTATCTAAACTATGAACTTACAAAGCTATCAACGTGCATGCTATCAAATAATTTTTGAAATTTCCATACTTCATAATTATTATTTTTTGGATGCCCATTATTCATGTGTGTGCATTGATTATTTTTTTTTTCTATAAAAAAAAATTGGAATTAGATTTACTTATAAATATTTTTACTATACTTGAATTATATCATACCTTTGCTCTTTTTTTTATCAAGTTCTTTCGAAGATCGTTCTCTAGTTGGCAAAGTAACATCCTCCATATTTATAGCTTGTGCGGATTTAATTTCTCCACTTTGTGCAGACAATGTACTAATAATTAATAAAAATTTTATTATTAATTAAAAAAAGCTAATGATCAAAATGTATTTAATAATAATGCTTAGAAATATAGTCAAATATAAAGATGCAGTTTAGAATTATTTAGCAATACAATAAAGTTCATACTTACGGCCTAATAATTTAGCAGAGAAATAAATAAAATTATATGATATCAAGTTACATAAGCCAATTAAAAATAAAATACAATGAAGTTTATACTTATGAGCTAATAATCCAATATCATAAGAATTTGTAAAATTGGCCAAGCGAATATGTGAAATTGAGCCAAGTGAATACGTAAAATTGAGCCAAGCGAATATGTGAAATTGAGTCAAGTGAATATGTAAAATCGAGCAAGCGAATATGTGAAATTGAGTCAAGTGAATATGTAAAATCTAGCAAGCGAATATGTAAAATCGAGCAAGTGAATATGTGAAATTGAGCCAAGTGAATATGTAAATTTGAGCCAAGCGAATATGTGAAATTGAGCCAAGCGAATATGTGAAATTGAGCCAAGCGAATATGTAAAATCGAGCAAGCAAATATGTGAAATTGAGCCAAGTGAATATGTAAAATTGAGCCAAGCGAATATGTAAAATTGAGCCAAGTGAATATATAAAATCGAGCAAGTGAATATGTGAAATTGAGTAAGTGAATATGTAAAATCGAGCAAGCAAATATGTGAAATTGAGTCAAGTGAATATGTAAAATCGAGCAAGCGAATATGTAAAATCGAGCAAGCGAATATGTGAAATTGAGCCAAGTAAATACGTAAAATTGAGCCAAGCGAATATGTAAAATTGAGCCAAGCGAATATGTAAAATTGAGCAAGCGAATATGTGAAATTGAGTAAGCAAATATGTAAAATCGAGCAAGCGAATATGTGAAATTGATTCAAGCAAATATGTAAAATTAAGTCAAGTGAATATAATTGATATATAAATCAATTAGTAAAAATTAATTCAAAAATAAATGCAATATAAAAACAATTAGAGAAAATTAAAAACAGTGTTTTGGCATACCTAGAAGCATGACTACGTAGTGTGCAGCCAGAATTTTGAGGTTTTCTAGACTTGCTTGATAATTCATTAGTATTATTTGAAACTCTATTTTGAGTTTGGTGATTTATATTTGGGTTTTGGGGAGTAGTAAATGGAATACATGAAGGAGATGCTGATGTTGGTGTTACGTTAGTATTATCTATATTAGTTACTGAACTTGGGGTCTCAACTTCCAAGTTTTGAACTTGATCAGTAACCTGAATGTACGTATAATAATTAATTATGATTTTCTTTTTTTATAAAATAAAAAACTTGTTTAATCTTTTACATTAAGCCTAAGACTATTCACAAAGTCTTGTAGAGTTTCAGTTGTTTTTGAATAAGTAGAAGTATGAGAAATAGATTGTGCAGAATTACTTATTTCATCAGATATTTTTTAATTGACAAGCATTAAATAGTTAACATTATAAACTAATTGTAATTAATATTTTTATAGTACGTACCAGTTTTTCTTTTTTTATATGAGCGATTATTCCTTTTGCGTTTATTAGTGTCACCTATTTAAAAATAATTACATAATTCTTTATACATATATGTGCATATTTTATATGTATACAGTAAAATATAATTTTATATATGTACATACATTTGTTATTTATAATTCCTCACATCATTCGTCTAATAGCCCAATCACATATTGTTAAAGAGAATTTTGGATTCTTTTATTTAAACTAAAATAACATATTTTGTTTAATTATTTTAACGAAATCAATATAAGCAATTAAAACTATAATTTTATTTGCCTTTCTAATGATTTCACTCTTTTCATTCTCTGGAATTTTTCAAAATTCAGATATTTCTTTCACATATTTAGCTGTTATTATCAAATGAAGTAATTCCTAGATAATATAAAATCATAAATAATATTGATGATAATTAATATAATTATAATTATTTATTAACATAAAATTTTACCAGATAGCTATTATATATTGGCTTGTCTAGTTTGAGAGTTTTAGGAATATCGATATAAGTTGCTTCATTCGGTTTTTCAATTGGAGCCAACTTTTAATTATAAATTATTAAATAATAGAACTAATTTGAAAATTAGCAAACACTTTATATATAACAAAAACCTCTGTGTCAGTATCATTTGTTTCAGAACTAGAAATATCTTCCATTTTGTGATTTTTTTCTTCTTACTGCTTTTTTTTTCTTTTTTCTAGAAGAGTTATTATCTGTATCATCTGAATCGATATTGGCTTTATTGTTTTTGACCTCCTTATTATGAGCCATTTGAAGCTTTTCCAAAGTTTCTAGCCATTTAAGTAAAGTTGAAATCTCATTTTTTGTTAAAGAAATCTTATTATCAACATTTAAGTTTGGTTCGCTTTTGTCTATATCCGATTCTAAAGTAGACTGGTTTGATTCTTCATCACTTATATCTGCTTTTCGTTTATTTGTTTGTTTGTTTTTTAGATTTATTTAAACCTTTTTTTTTTAAAAAAAATGTAAATTATTTGCGAAAGAAAAAAAAAAAGAGTCAAGGTTATCTTGCGCATATGTATATATATATAAATATAATAGACTCAAGTTTTGATCAGTGATCAAATCAATATTTATAGCCTATATAAATAAATTTCACGTACATTGTATGTCACAAGTATCACAAGTATATTGTATAAGATTGTTAGATAGTATTTTGCAACAAATAATATATGTAATATTTAGATCAATACTATGGTTATTAATACTTATCGGTTAAATCAAAAATCTGCATATAAAGCTTATTTTAATATTGAATGTTCAGTTATACTATTACTATTTTAATACGTAAATAATAATCAATTTTTGTACAACAATAAAGATAGTTAATAATAGTTGTATAAAAAGAAAGAAATCTCTTTTTAAAATTAATATAAAACAAATACTTATATTAAAAGTTGTGTGTGTTTGAAGTTGAGTGGTGTTGAGCAAATAAAAAAGTGAGTGAAATGAATACTGACTATCATTATCTAATTATTTATTAGAATATATTAATTAAAAGGGTTTGAAACCCAAAAATTATTGCTTATAATTAGATCTTTTTTTTTTTACCCTGTAATTATATATATATAATATTTTTTTTAAAAAAAATTTAATTAGTATTATTCTTAAAATGTTGGTCTGGTGCACTTGTCATACATGCTCATTAAATGATAGTGGCGGTTCATGGATATCTAAAAGTGCTAAAACTCAGCACCGACAACGTGATAGGTGAAATTCTCGAAGCTCTAGTAATAATTCAGTATTAGCTATAAATAATTCTTCATATAATTTTTATTCAGAAGAATATAACAATAATTTAGAAAATTATAGTGATGATAATTTAGAAGTAGATAGATTAGAAAATGAGATTAGAAGTAAGAATAAATTAGAAAATAACTTAAGAAATGAAGGCGAATTAGAAAATAGTTTGAAAAGTAGAAATAAAAATAAATTGGTAAATAGTTTAGAAAGCAAAAATGAATTTGCGAATAGTAATGAATTAATAAATAGTTTAGAAAGTAAAAATGAATTTGCGAATAGTGATAAATTAATAAATAGTTTAGAAAGTGAAAATGAATTTGAGAATAGTGATGAATTAGTAAATAGCTTAGAAAGTAAAAATGAATTTGAGAACAATGATGAATCAGAGAATAGTTTTAAAAGTGGAAATGAATTTGAAGACAATGACAAATCAGAGAATAGTTTTGAAAACGAAGAAGAGTTTATAAGCATGCTTGAGTATGAAGATTCTGATAATGATTCAGAGAATAATAGCAATAATTCAACTATAACAGATACAAGTAATACAGATAATGAAGGTAATATACTAAATTATAAAATTTACTAGCATTTAACTTTATTTATTTATTTAAATATTAGAAAATATACCTTTTATATCACCTGAACTTGCTACTATGATTTGACTTCTAAAAATTAAAGTGCAAAATAATATTACTGATGAAGCCTTTTATGAAATAATAAAAGCTATAGTTGCAAAACCAATGAGCTTATATTTAATTAAAAAAAAGCTATTATCATTAATTCCATTTAAACCCACATGGATAGATATGTGTATTAATACTTGTTGCGCTTATACTGGTAATTATAGTAATCTTACAGAATGCCTATATTGCAAAAAGGAACGATATCAAGCTGAATATTCTGAAGCATGTTGCAAATTTGCATATTTTTCAATTATTGATCATTTTATAATACAATACAAAGATGAAGAACAAACAAAAAATTTACTTTATCGTTCAGAATATGTATTAAGACCAGAATATCAATATAATGAAAAGATTAGAGATGTGTTTGATGGCCAACGATATAAAGATCTAGTACAAAGAGGATATTTTAAAGAAAAGTATGATATTGCACTATTAGCATCGATTGATGGGTTTCAAATTTTTAAACAGAAAACAGATGATTGCTGGATTCTGTTATTTATAAATGCAAATTTACCTCCTGAAATATGAGTCAAAAAAGAAAATCTTTTAATCTCTACAATTATACCAGAACCAAAAGATCTAAATTCCTTTATATTTCTGGCTATTACTAAATTACAAGAATTAGAAAAAGGAATAGTATGTTCGAGTGTTCAACATGAAAATACATTCATATTATGTGGTTGTGTATTGTCTTGGTCTGGTGACATACCTGGAATCACAAAATTAATATGTCTTATGGGACATAATTCATATAGAGGATGCTGTTATTGTAATATTAAGGGTATTTATTCTTCACACATATATTATCCTACTAATCCACCCAGAGATCAAAATAGTGAAACTTATGATTCAGAAAACCTACCAATTAGAACTCATAATGAATTCAAAAGACAAATAAAAACAATTCAAAATGCACAAACAAAATTAGAAAAAAATTAAGCAATAAACATTATGGTATACGCAAAAAAAGTATATTATTTAATCTTAATACTACCAGCTTTCCAAATGCAATCCCTGTGGATATTATGCACTTATTTTATGAGAATATTGCTGGTTATATGCTGTCTCATTGGATGGGTTCCTTTTTTTACTGATCAAAACCAAAATAATGGTAAATATATTTTAAATAGAGAAATGTGGAATAAAATTGGAAACAAGATGCATTTAGTATGAAAAAAAATTCTATCAAGTTTGGGTCAACCATTGCAAAATATTGTTTTGCATTATAATGGCTATAAAGCAGAGGAATGGTCCTCTTGGATTACAATGTACTCCCTGCCGTTTCTTAAAAATCAATTACCTAATAAATATTACAATGTAAAGGCTGTATGATTATGTCAAAAAAGAACAATAACACATGATGATTTAAATAAAATTAGATCATGCCTTTTATCATTTTATATGAATTATGAAAAAGAATATTATCATGGGCAATTAGAACACTTAAGCATAATGAAAATGTGTATATATAATATATTACATGTATCAGAAAGTATTTTTCAAACTGGACCTTGTTGTACAACATGGCAATATCCAATCGAAAGAGTATGTGGAATGCTACTTCCCTTAACCAAATCAAAATTACAAGAATCTTACTAATAACATTCATTTACATGAAATTTTTAATTGTCTAAAATTTAATCAAGCAATATACAATCAAATATTCTCACCAATTCCTCCTAAGATACATGAAGAACATCTAGTTTATACTGGAGAAGATGGTCAAGACTTTTATTTTTCTTCAACTCAGTACAAATTGTCACAAGCTGAATTAAAAAAAATCAAACACCATTTTTCTACTATATCAGATGTATCGGGTTTGCAGCTCTTATCTTTTAATCAAATAGGAACAAAATATGGTCGGCTTAGAACAAAGGATGGTCATTACATTGGGTCAAAGTGGAATCATCACAATAAAGACTGGTCACGAACTAATTATAATGTTATGATAAAGATAGAAGTAGATATTTTATGCAAACTATCCAAAGTGACCATCAGTATTTGAAATTCGAGATTTTTATGCAGTTGTTGAATATTACTTAGTTTATGAATTTGAAGAATCAAAAGTAATATTAGCATATATTCAGTGGACATTACCTGCTAAAGAAAATAGTACTGGTGTAAAGACATTTAGTCGATTGGGGTCATACGCATTTATTAATTCATTAGCAATTGATTACAGTGTGGGTTTTATTGAAATTGATAAATTATTTTATATTGTAGACAATGACATAGATAATGATAAATGGGTCCTTTCACAACAAATCGGGGTTTAGAGATGATCTAACTGAAATTGATGTTTTTATTGGATTGTATTTACAAGTGCATGAGTTATTCGTAGTAAAAATTTTCGCGTATGTTGACATACTATAATTTGGTACAGTTCTATACGCAGTAATTTTACATACGCTGATTTTCTGCTCTAATTTTAGCTTTAAATCGGCTACGTACCGCTACCGCTATTACTAAAAGTGAAAATTATATCAATAACGCATACGTATCCGTATAATGTATGTGCATACGTTCTAAACTATATATTTTATATATGAATATCTATATTTATCGCAACAATCAAAATTTGATTAATCGTTGATATTTGCAAATCAAAAAATCGTCTCTAAGCCCCGATTTGCTGTGAAAGGACCCAAATAATAATAAATAAATTAAATACTATTAGAAAATATCTAAAGCAAGTAATCTTCAATTTATAATTTAAAACTTATAATAAAATATTTCATGACTTTAAACATTCGCTATTTCTAATATACTTTAGCAATTAGTGAGTATATATAAACTTAGACTTAGATCTAAATTTTGAAAAATAAAACTTTAGTTTATAATCTTAAATTTATAATTTAAAACTTATAATAAAATATTTCATGACTTTAAACATTCAATATACTTTAGCAATTAGTGAGTATATATAAACTTAGACTTAGATCTAAATTTTGAAAAATAAAACTTTAGTTTAAATAGTAAATTTGACTATGCGATGTATATGTTTATACATATACACACCATACATATATATATTACATATTTTGGTTCATTTTACTTGACATTATTTATAATAAATAGCATATCGAAATCGGTAGATCTATACATAGAGTTGTTAAGTTACATGTAAGTTATATGTATTTTACCAATGTAAGTACATTGTAACTTACGTAAATTACTTGTAAGTTATGTAAGTTGATCAACATATGTTATATATCAAATTTTAGCAATTACAGTTGATATTAAATGCTGGTAAAAATTATTATGCGATTCAGCTAGCTTTAAAGCTGATATAGGCAAGGTAAACAGTAAGTTACAGTATAACTTACATGTAAATTATGTTGTTTAACAACCCTAACTATACAGTTTAATAAAGGATTCTAACAGTTATAATTCCGGTCAATATTTTCACTTATTTGGCCAAATTTTATATTATTTTACTCAAGATTTGGTCAAATAATTGCCAATTTTGACCAGAATTATAACTGATAAATTCTTGACTGTGCAGATATGCTAATATATAATTTATACAATACAACTGCAATACAGTTACAATACAATTGCAATACAAAATGCATTACAACTGGTGATATAATTAGAATACATTATTGGTATAACTATAGTATGATTATAATATAAATTAGACTTACTTTTGTACAATTTCTATACATAATACTTATTTAAATTTTAGATTACAGATGATTGTATAATAATTTTGTATAATTATCAAATAGATTTATAGAATTGTATATTTTTATACAATTTTTGTTACCCTTAGTTTTTTTGTCTTTTTGTGCTCCAATACAAACATTGTACAGTATTGAACCTATTTTGAATAACGAAACTTAATAAAAACATAATATATTCTGTATAATTTTTTTTTATAGGGCTTCTGAATCTTAATTTCAGCCCTATTGATTTTAAATTAAAACCAAATAATCAATCATAAAAATAATACAATAGCAAATAAACAGAACAAGACGAATAGCTTATCATACAGTTAAAATATAAGTCAAGAATTATAACAAACACGAATCTAATCTTTCTGTCATTGATGAATAAGTCACCTTTCATTTTTTGAATTTAGCAAAAAATTTAATATTGTGTGATAGTAACACTAGCAAATTTATTTCAAAAATTGCTGATTTCAACCTATTATTCCCAAAATGAACTTTGGAATTCGAGGATTAAACCCATATTCAAAAATTAATAAAGGATAATCTATACTGTTTAATTTCATACTATATATATGTCATAGATATTTTTAGGCATCTAGGCAATGTATGCAAAATAATTGGGTATTAATGCAAACCTCATTTATTCCGTTTCGCTTGTACATATGTCACTCATGGTATTATACATTATTCGCTTTTGAATTTGGAATAGTAATCGAGAAATTATGTTAATTAGAATTTTTTTTATTTATTTATGAAAGTAAACGCATTAAGGTTGTGATTTTTCTGCGTCATTCACAAAATTCGTCTCGACACGTATAACTTAGGTGGATTTTTAATGTAATTAGTTAAATCAATTACAATATAATAAATCGATAATTACATGATTTCATCTTGATATAAATAAGGGAAAATATTAATAAATTTTTGTTTAAATGAAATAAACAAATGCTTTATACCATTTTTTATTAATAATAAGCATGAAACCACTAAGATATAACTTTCTGAGTCATCTTGAAAACCTACGTTAGCCAAAGGAAAGAATAAATACTGCTTAATGGATAGAGTAGCTATGATGAACGTTTGCACATATTAAAAAAACAAATCCAAGCTTTTCATATAACCGAATACTGGATACTCATCCCTATAAAAAAAAATCTCTTGGAATTATTCGGAAAATTCCGAAATTATTCGATTTTTTGTTCAGAAACTCGACTCCATTTCGAACATTTAGAGGATGTTTATTGAATGAATGCGTTTTTTATACGTTTTTTATACGATCAAAAATTTCCTATTTTTTGCGTCCCGTACAAACGTCGTTATGAAAACAGTACAAATATAAACCCTGTTCGGAAAATCGACTCCGTTCCGAACATTTTTTTGGACAATGCCTACAATAACAGTACAAAATTTTTTTATAGGGCATATTTTCAAAATTTTTATATCAACACAGCTGAAGAGCTTCGTTTAATTAAGCAAGCTAGAGACCAAATTTGTCCAGCTGAAAAGCTTTTAAAAAATAACTTGCCCTGCACATCAAGCAACTGAACATGCAGTTCAAGATAAAACTTGAAAAAAATTTTTAGCGAATGTAAATCATCAGTGAACTTCAAAAAATTCCATAATTCGTCCAATAGGTTTCGAAGGTTTCTGTATAATAAATACAGTAATTCATAAATAAATTATAAGCAATTTAATTTTGATTAATCGCTGCACACCTGATTGTTGTCCGATTTCATGGTTGTAAAGTGCGTTTTTTTGGCCAAAAATTCAATATAAATATAAAATTTGCCGACTATATCTATGCTCACGAAAAAAATCATAATAAAATCACGCAACTGGACAACATTCGAGTTTATCAAGTGATTGTCAGTAATAGTATATACTAGAGCACAAAATTCTATTGCAAAGCGCCAGAGATTCTGTTACAGCTGTTTTCATAAATTTTGGAAAATTGAAAAATTGTCGATGACCTAATCAATAAGTAACCGATTACGGTCAAACTCAGAAACTTATCGATACAGTCATCGGCAATTTTTTCAGTTCCAGAATTTATGAAAACAGCTGTAAGATGATTTCCAATAATATAAATATGTTGTATTGTTTTTACGGAAATTTAAACATTGTTTACCGAAAAAAAAAGCAGGTTACGATAGGGTGTTACCTCAACTAATAAATCAAAACATAGTCAGGGTAACAAGATCATAAATTTCGGATTTATTAATGGTTAAATTTCGATATTATCGTTAATCAGTTATTTTAGACGATTTATACAAAATTGATTATAAACCGAAATTTACATTTATTGGCACAAGTAGTGATGTGCCATTTATATGATACCTGAAAAATTTTAGCGTACAGTACTGGGGCTGCCGATATACTAATTAATCAAAATCATGTGGGATGCAATAATAAGTAATAATACTGATAGATTTTATGCATAAATCGATCGGCAAACTTTTACTAACGAAATACTAGTATCTAAGAATCGA